GTTAAGAGGTTGCCCGTCAAATAAAGAAATAAATTGTAAAACTAAAAAATTACAAAAGAAAATGAAACAAAATAAAATTACACATAAATTTAGAGAAATCATATATGAAATTTGGGGAAAAAATCTGGCCAATTTACTCAGATTTAGAAGGAGAAATTCGGACTCTGCACTCAGTGGACACGTGTCGCTATGGGGTTGGTTGATCGGAATTGATTTGCCACGTGTCGCACTCGGAGTGCCTGGCGTGTGCTGGCAGAAGGTGTCGCGGGGACAGCTGGCGTGCGCGAAATGGATGCAGGGCTGGCACGCTGACACACGGGACCCACGCTTCTGAGGGTTGGACGCGCCAGAGACAACGCGGAGAACGAACGCGCGCTCTGAGGGGCTACGTGCTGCTGACGCACGAGGCGCGAGATGGCGGGAAGAAACGGGCGCGGATTTTTGCGCTGACTGGTGGGGCCACGGCGCTGATGAGGTGGGTTGGCTCGGTGGCTTAAACGGCTCAATGGGCTGACACGGCTCAATGGGCTTAAACGGCTGAGAATATGACTTTCATGGCTTTTTCTTGTGTGACTTTTTACACTACTTTCATCTGTAAATAATTAAACAAAAACTAGACAAATTTCAATTAAAAATATTATGAATAAAAATAATGAAATTATTTAATTAAAACTTAAATATTTTAATATTATATAAATTAAAAGCAATATTTAGGGTGTATTTGCCAAGCAAAAAAAAAAAATATATATATATATATATATATATACACTAAAAGTTGAGGATTTTATTAAGAGCTCTCAGAGAGCAAGATGTCAGTAACAATTTGATATATGGACCAAGCAAGAGTAGCCATTCCTTGTTTAAAAGCCGCATCAAAGAGTTAATTTGACTTACCCCTTCACGTGGTGGGCACCAAAATACCTGTCTTTGCTGCCTTTAAACAATGAATCCTCAATTCTTCTCGTCGCTGTCTCATTAAGGAGAATTCCGTGAATTTTGCACACACCACTTTCAAAGAATCATGAATATTCGGCTCCTTTCCAGCAAAAACTAGGCTATTTCTAGCCTCCCAAATATGACTCATCAAAACAAACAGCAGAGAATAGGCAAAAGTCATACTTTGAAACAGGGTATGTGGTCAGGTTGTTGGAGGATCTAGAATTACTTCAAGCAGTTCCAAAGCGTTGTACACCATCGATTCTCAAACAATGATCAACTTTTTCTCTTCTTGCCAAAACTATTTATGGAACCAGTTTTTGAGAATTTTTTTATTTGGCTTTGAACAATCTATCAATTTGCCTTGAAACATTGACATCCCAACGAATACCCCCATCGATTCTCAAACAATAATCAACTTTTTCTCTTCTTCCCAAAACTATTTATGGAACCACTTTTTGAGATTTCTTTTATTTTGACTTTTTTTATTGTTATTTTTTGAGCAATTCAATTGACTTTTCTTTCTTAAATCCTCATTTTGTCACCCTTTGCTTCATTTGACTTTTTTTTTCCTTACTTTCTTATTAATCATTTATTTATTTATTTATTTAAGCTAAAGGACTCCATAAGAAGAAATAACGTTTTGAATAAATTTTATTTTTACCCCTAAACTTTGAACACCCTATCAATTTGCCCTCGAACTTTGAAAATGGATAACCTTTTCCCGACGTCCATCCCATTCGGCAGATTCCGGCACCCCCACCCCCAACCTTGGTGCGCAGATCCTACTGTCTCCCACGAAACCCATTCTCCTTCTATACCTTCCCCCTACTCCCTCGGTGTTGAGCCCCACATGCCCCCTCCTTGCAGATCTGGTTTGGGTAAATTGTTTCATTGAGTATGAAATTGGCCATGAACGAGTGAAAGAAGAAAGTGTTGCTTGGCACAGACGCGGAGGAGAGTAGGCAAAAGAAGAGATATAGGGTTTTAGTTTATTAATTCGAATTTTTAATTTAAATTGAGATATGACCGACAATTTTTTATTATAATAAAAAAAATTAAATATGATTATTTTTTAAAATTTTGTATTATTGTAAAACTCAAATTTTAAATTTAAAGTGGTAAAATGAACGGAGCTATACAAAGTTACAAATTGTATCTTATTGTACAGGTCTCACTCACTGGCTAAATCACACTACACAAAGAATTACAGTACCAACTGTTAAAAGGAGAGAATAACCAACGGTTCGTTTAATTCGTTGATTTGAGTTTTTAATTTAAGTTGATATGTAATTTTATATGAAAGTTTTTTATTGTAACAAAAAAATTAAATGTTACTATTTTTAAAAAAAAATTATTGTAATAAAATTTAAATTTTAAACTCAAATCGGTGAAATGAACACCGGTTCTCAATAATTAATATGAGGATAGCTAATCTACGCTAAGGTACAGAGAAAATACCAAGGACTGCCATCAGTCTTAACAGCCCCCCTGAAGCTCATTGGCCGAGGAAGGACAGTGAGCTTGGAGCGTATAGTGAGGAAGCGATGTGAGGGAAGGGTCTTGGCCAATGCATCAGCTAGTTAGTCTTCGGACGAGGTGTGCTGAACAATCAACGAGTGTTGCATCACTTTATCACGCACAAAATGATGATCTATTTTAACATGTTTAGTGCGAGTGTGGAGAACCGGATTGGCAGCGAGATATGTAGCACTGAGATTGTCACAAAAAAGTGTAGGTGGGGCCGATAAGGAAATAGAAAGCTCCTGAAGAAGAGATTGAATCACCGTCAGTGACAGCGCGATATTCAGATTCCGTGCTAGAACGTAAAACAACACGCTGTTTGGAAAAGGACCAAGAAATGAGATTCAAACCCAAGAAAATGCAATAACCACCTGTGTTGCATCGATCATCCGGACAACTAGCCCAATCGGCATCCGTGTAGCAAGTGATAGAGAGATCAGGTGAAGGTTGTATAGAGAGGCCATGATGAATTGAGATAACGAAGGATACATTTGGCAACTCGCCAGTGAGACGTGGTAGGACAATGCATGAATTGGCATACCTTGTTGACAGAGAAACTTATATCGGGCCGAGTTAAAGTAGAGTACTTTAAGGCACCAACAATACTTCGATACATGGACAGATCATCAATCGGTTGGCCAGCATACAGAGATAATAATGTAGGACCAGCAGCCATTGGTGTATGGTATGGCTTGCAATCAAGCATGTCAGACTTATGAAGAATGTCCCTGATGTATTTGGACTGGCTGAGGTGCAAACCGGATTCAATGGAGTGTACTTCAAGGCTAAGAAAAAGTATGAAAGAGTTCCGAGATCCTTGAGAGCAAATGTAGCATTGAGATGGTGAATTAAGTGACATAAATAGTTAGGGCTGTTAAGCATGATCACCATAACAGTAGGAGTGTGAAGAGAAAACATCGATGGATCGGCCTTAAAAGCTTTAAATCCCCATTGAAGGACCCATGTACTAAGTTTTGTGAACAAGCTCTTGGAGACTGTTTAAGACCGTAGAGCGCTTTATGAAGTTTTTTTATTTTTTTTATTTGTGAAGAGAAAACATCGATGGATCGGCCTTAAAAGCTTTAAATCCCCATTGAAGGACCCATGTACTAAGTTTTGTGAACAAGCTCTTGACTGTTTAAGACCGTAGAGCGCTTTATGAAGTTTTTTTTTTATTTTTATTTTTTATTTGTAACTAAAAAATTAGCAAATAACTATATTCTATCTGAAGAGAAAAATAAATAAATATTGATAAAAATACATAATTTATGGTTTAATGGGAATAAATCCTGTAAATATATAATTTGAAACACTCGGATTACCAAATTTGATCATATGTAAATTTCGAATTACAAAATTTGCTTAAATTTATTGATATTTACTAATTTATTCAACAAAATATAAAAATAATACGACATAAGATTGTTTTTTCTTTTGCTATTTTAAGCAATTCAACGCGTGGGGTGGGGTGGTGGTGGTGGTGGTGGTGGTGGTGCTTATATTACAGCTTACATGGTGCCATTGGGATAGAAATATGAATATGCTAAATAAGCTGATGTTTGTAAATGGAAAAATAATGGAGAAGCTCCAACAGTTGTTCTTAGTAACAAGAACTCGGTTCTCTTCGAATATGAGGACATTTCAAGCTGCCTATTATCCTTTTTTTCTTTTTTTTTCTTTTACCTCCTCTTTTGAGAACAGGAAAGGAACAAAAAGTAAAAATAAAAATAAAAATAAAACAGAATTAAATTGGTTTATTTCGTTAGCTGTTTCTTTGCTTGCCAAATTCCTATTTCTTTTACTAAAATGCCCTCAACTTTTTTAAACACACATGCCTAGAACATTTTCGTCCACAAAATTAATGGAGTTGAACATTTTTGCCATTTTGAATCCTGAGCAAAAGCTCAGGAGTTAAAAATTGGTACATGCTCAAGTACATGGACCAAAACATAGTGGGAGACAATGCAATGAAAAGTTAATGGGTTAATGCCTTGATGGTGCGCCTAATGAGCCCAATTCCAAAAAAAAAAAAAAAAAAAAAAAAAAAAACCATAAATTCCCATAATGAAACTCTAATAATTGTTCATGGCCAAACCCCCATTGTTACCAACGCAATCGCCAATGTAAAATCAGTTCAAAAAACAAAGCGATTTTTTTATTCACACAAACAAAAAATGGAGCAATCCTGCAGATTAGGCATGATGTTTGAAATAAAATAGGCCTGTTTCTGTTCTGTTACCTATTCTATATGCAAGCCATGTTCAGCCAATTCTCTTGTGGAGTCGAGGGTATACTTTTCTTTTTTCCAAACTACTACTGCCATTTGTTAGCTAACTAAATCCAGGAGCAAAATAAAAAAAAAAAAGAAAAAAAAAGGTCAAATGCTGCATTGATACATTAAGCACTACACTCTTGTCCACACATAGGCCTGTTTCTGTTTTGTGACCTATTCTATATGCAAGCCATGTTCAGCCAATTCTCTTGTGGAGTCAGGGTAGACTAAACTACTACTGCCATTTGTTAGCTAACTAAATCCAGGAGCCAAAAAAAAAAAAGGTCAAATGCTGCATTAATACATTAAGCACTACACTCTTGTCCACACATCGATACCACACGAAAACTACAAGGATTCCGATAAATCCATAACAACTAAAAGCAAAAACTTCAACATTTAGGGAGAAAATCTTAAAAATTTCCAATGAACAGAAACAAGATTCCATTGAAATGTTGAATCGCAAGAAAAGGCCAAACTCTTCACAGGTCCTGCACGCTCAAACCTAAAAAAAAAAAAAAAGGAAAGAAATTTTTTTCTTTAAAAAAAAATAGTAAAATATTAAAGGTAAAGAAGACATCAAAAAGCCATAAAAGAAAACCAAAAAAAAAGGGTAGTATCTAAACTTGTAATCACATAGATTAAGAGATCATTTCAACAAAGACAGATTCCACATAAGCAAGCCAAACGTTTATTTTTCCAGAATCAAAAGGAAGAGAACTATAAGACATGAAAACTACATACTTCAACTGACTAATACTCCAACTGAAAAAGGAAACCTAGTATATGTTCGTGTCTCCAAATTTACTAAGGCCAATTATTGTCTATCACAAGATTCAGAACAAATGAGATGTTAAAAGAAAGGAATACCTGGAGGAAGGGATTGCTTCAACTTGTCAGCCTTCTCAGAGTCAAACACGCAAAGGGTGTAAAGGTACTTTGAGCATCGAACCTTAAACTTGACAACATCTTTGCTCCTCTTGATTTTCACCGAGCGAGCATCCTTCCTTCTAGCAGTGAGAAGGAAGTCCTTAATCTCATGAATTTGCTTCGGCTGGTTGCAGAGAAAAACAAAAGGGTATTCCGTATTCAATCCAATGCCTCCAAAAGTTAACAATGAAATTTGCTAATCATCATACAGCTTTAAAACTTTAACCCGATTTAAAAATAAATTAAAGAAAGCTATTCTATTGATGTAAATAGTTTTGATTTTAAACAATAGAAATAGTAAATAAAACAAACACCTAGACAATAGACGACCTGAACCCACTTGCAGAACCATAAAAAAGACCATAACCATCATGGATTTGAAGCCATCAGTAGTTAATTAACCAAAGTTCTATTCCCAGGATAACAATAAACTGCTAAATTCACTATTATCAAAAGTGCACCCCGGCCAAAGGTATAAAAATATAACACAATAGAAAGTTCTTGTCACAATATCTAGCACGTGGAGACATAATATGAATATCCAATATATAAGTACAAAACTATATCTACACTATTACTGTGATAACTCCAAAACAAGATCACATAAAATTTAGTAAGCCAAAAGAAAGCATGTGAGACCAAATAAGATAAATTCAATTGTAAACCCTAATTGTGCAAATAACAATGTTCATTTCACTTCTCTAGCATGGCCCATTTCATCTTTAAATTCTTAATAAACCAAAGACCATATTGTAAGCTTAAGATCGACACAACCAATAATCGTAAAATATGAATTAAAAAAATTGTAGAAATTTATCAGACACGAAATTCTAAGATTCATTAGTTTTTTTTTTATCTAAAAGTTTATCTGCCAAAAAATCGAAGCAAAGGCCAAAAAATGAACTTCTACGCAGAAATCGAAACAAACCCAGAAATTTAAACGAAAATTGAAACAAGCGGTGAGTATAAGGAATGGCAAAGAAGAAAATGAGGGAATAGACCTAGAAGCGCGATAAACAGAATGAGATGTTAAATTACTGAGGAAATTAAAGAAAACAGAGGAGAAATACTAGTACCATTTTGATGAAGAACAAAAAGTGAGCCAAAGAGCAAATTCTGCGTAGCGCGGAAGAGATTGTTCGGAGGGTATACTAATGTATACAATCTAGGGTTTTGTAACCCTAAAGGCTTTTTTAACTTTTTTAATTGACGATTTTGTCCCCCAGATTGTTTTATGGGTCTGGGCACTCCCATATTTGGGCCCTATTTTCTGTTGGGCCCGTACTTCGAACTTCTCGAAGTATTTAGACCAAATGATCGTTTTTACTATGTTTAGGAAAGGTCTTTAATCTAATAACATGATCAATCTCTCTATTTTATAATTACCGATATAATATAATTTCAGATATGTCCTTTTTTTATCTGAGTGGTTTTGATGATTTTAAAAGGTAGTTATTTAGAAATAGAGATATCATTACGGGTTAATTTATAGATTTATATGCAAATATAACAATTTGTGTACATTCTTTTTGCCATCCATTGTAAAACAGACATACATGTAATTAACTCGAACTTCTCAGACAATGAGCTTTCTTCAGGCTTGGGCTTGAGTGTTTAGGAGAGAAATGAGAGAACGGAGAAAATTACAGAATTTACCTTTAATGCATGAACTTGAATTTTTATCATTTACTCTTGATAAATAATCTTTTGTTAGTGTAATTATTTGACTAAAAGGGTTATGAATCAAGAGTAAAAGGTAAAAATTCTTATCCACGCACTTTATCAAGATTACCTATGTGTTTTTGAAATGTAAAATAAAAGGGAAATTTTCAGGAATGTATATATAATATATAATATACATTAGTGCTAGAATTTTGAACGGGCCATCCTCAACCACCCGAAAAAATTAATTTTGAGCTTGACACTTGAGCTCACCCGTCTGAAATTTTCGGGCCGCCCACCAGAGCCCGAGAAGGCCCATGGACGGACCACGGGCATGGTTTTGACTAGGTGAGCCCGGTCAGGCAGCCCGAGCCCGCCCGAATGGCCTGAAAAAAATATATTTTTTAATTGTTATAATATTGTATATATATCTATTATATACTATTATTTAGTAATTGTATTTGTATATAAATAATTATTAAGTTATTTTGTGTTAAAATTATATAAAAACTAAAATCAACACACACTATTAACACAATTTAATAAATTAATTTTGTATATTAATTTTTAAATTTGTAATTCATTATTATCTCGTTAAAAACCTTACCAAGAAAATTTCAATTAGGATAAAAACTTGGTAAGGAAAAAAGAGTGCAATCATTTTGTGACGAATTACAAATTTTACAAACTTACAAAGTCTAACTATACAATTACAATGTCGAAAGTAAATACATATTTACATATTACAATTTAATTTAAAGTTGAAGGATTGTCTTCAAAATTAAATGTTAATCTATTAAATTCATCGATCCACTCTTGACTTACTGGTGAAATTGTATCCTGTCAACATTGATCGGTACGATCCCAATCCTTAATGCAGATTAAGGCTTCAACAATGTCCCTTTGCAATGCGTTTCGGCGTTCCTTAAGTATTCGTCTGGTAGTATTGAAGGCTTGTTCGGATGAAACAGTGGAGGCTGAGATCGAAAAAAATATCCATTACCAATTGAGTTAGGATTGACCAAGTTAATGCTCGTGCCCTCCACCATTAAACTAAATCAAACAAATCTCCACTACCGTCGACTACTAAGCTCTCAAGTGTGTTATGCCGTGAATAATGTCACTTTGTAATTTAGAATAGCAATATTTACATTGAGCTATGTGTTTAGTGTTACCGTCATTGTCGACCTCCTCAATTATGTCAAAGTGATCCCAAACTGTCGAGGTGCGCTTGTATTTTCTCTTGAAAGTTGCAACACTTGTAGACGCAGTAGCACTTGCACTCGCCTCTCTTTCACGCTCACCACCATTGCGACCACGACCTCCAGTACGTCTACCACAGCTCAGATTTGCAGGTTCCTCAGTTGGTTGTGTTTGCTATTCCTGCGTAATAAATTCATTAGTAGGAAATTGTCATTCTTTCACGTTCTGTTGGGCATCAATAGGAATACCACCGTAACTAAAAGAATCCATTATAAAAATAAAAGTGATTTAAGAGAGAGCTTTAGGATATTGTGATAGTTTTTGGAAAAATTGTGAGAGACATTTGAGAGAAATTGAGAGAGATTGAGAGAGATTGAGAGAAATAGAGAGAAATCGAGAGAGATTGAGAGAGTTTGGGTGAGAAAAATGTGTGGGGGATGGAGAGTATTTATAGATAAATTTTTAGGTTAAATTTTTTTTTTTCCCCAAATTCGGATCCAACGGTCATCTTTGGTCTCAACAGGTCGAGTTTGGGTTGAAAATTGAGCAACGGTAAAAAAAGGAGCCGTTGGAATCGGGCTTTCGGGCAGCGAGTCTGGTCGGGCGCCAACGTTCAAAAACTAGCGTTGATCGGGCTTTGGGCAATTCGGGCCGGAGGGAAACAAATTTTGACGGTCGACGGTCAAGGCCTTTTGTTGGCGTCGGGCTTCGGACAGGCCCACCGGCTCAAAGTTCTAGCACTAATATACATACATATATGTACACATTTTTATTTCAGTTGAGGTAATTTAGTCATTTAAATTGGAAGGTAAAAGAGATACAAAAATGCTAACCCCAAATACAGGGGCACAAATAAAAACCTATGCGGAATAAGAGGCATCCCACTTAATTTAAAAGTCAAATAGTTTGACGTATAGTTCGGGATTAAATTTTCACTTTTTTTTTTTTTTTTTGTAAACCAAAGATTTTTGGTGAGTAATAAATGAGGACATTGATAAGTATACACGCCATTGGCATGGAAGTGTCCAAGTGTCCGTCCTCATTTCTCCAAACTCGAGAGGAAACACAAGTGCTACTTCCTTTGGATGAATGCGACGACCATTAATATAAATGGAGAAAAAACATGATAATTGTTGACCAAAGCATGCCATAGCTAGCTTCTTCACATGATGATTATGATTTCCAACTGCAATAATTAATTACATATTGGAATTCTAGTTGTAGTTTGTGAGAATATTCTGCATCTTTAATTGTTACACGCGAAGTATCTTAAATGGAAATTCGGTTTCCATGTTAATATATATATTTTTAATTAATGAATCTCTCTCCTTATTTTTTTTTTCTTTTCAAATGGCAAGAGGTCGCAATTAGGACCAAATACATGGGAATGGATTTCTTAAGTAATACCAATTACCACGTAAGTAACAAATGTTATGTAAAATGAAATTAAGTACAAGATTAAGGGTCATCAATAACATTTGCATCTTTTCAAGAAGAAAACATGTATCACAATTTTGAAATGTAAGACCTAAATGTGCAAGTAATGAGCAACGTATTTTTTTTTACGGTGCTAATTATTTTGTGTGCGTGTTGTCTGTGTAAGCATCGAATAGCTCGAGAAAAAAAAAAAAAGAGAGAGAGAAAGAAAAAAAAAAGTTACTTGATTGCTATAAAGCTAGTGGTAGAAATAAAGTTCCATTTAAAAAAAAAAAAGAGAAAATAGACAAATATCTTTTAAAAGTGTACGAGTTAATATTTATATTTCCAACTCTTGATTAATAATATTTTTAATCAAATAACTATACTAATAAAATAATATTAATCAAAATTTAATAATAAAAATTTAAACTTATACACTTTTAAAAAGTAAATTCTATCATTTTCTCTTTAAAAAATACGAGCCAGTAATGGTTGGGAAAAGGACTTCATTTATTAACTAATTGGGAAAATGACTTTAAAGATGCCTATTATGATTTATGTTTTTTTTTTTTTTTTCTTTTTCACGCTAAAAGTATGATTTATGGTTGTTGTTCTTCTTCTATCTTCCTTTAGAATTTTACTTTGAACTGTTAGTACTTTTAAATTTTTATGAGATTTTGATCAATTATAACATTTAGAAATATTCACTCTATCTATAAACATGACCTGATAATCTTGAAAAAGCTATGTTTTTTAATACATCAAGCAATATATATTAGTTTTTTTTTTTTTTTTTTTTCCTTTGGAAACCCTATTTAAATTGATATACCTTTGCATGATGGATGTTAAAATTCTCAATTAGTGTCGTCTTGGAATGAAATTATAGACAACTCGACTTGCAAATTTCTTTTTTGAAAGGGAAATTTTCATTCAACTTAAAATAAGGATTTATAAACACTAATACCGACATGAATAACACCGACGCGAATGACCTGAGATACAAGAAGACTTTACTCTAAATAAAGACCGGATCCTCCAATAATTTTGAATAAAAATACTCAAGGGAAAGACACACCAAATTTCGAGCACACAAATGACTCTTTCAATAACACCTTTATAATTGATGGAAACTTCTGATCAATCGAGATTAAGAGACCAATAACAAAGGTCACACACAACTCTGCATAGAAATAAATCTAGCTGACAAGACAAAATATCAACCTCAAATAGTGGAGAGACCACCAAATGGCGGAAAAACACATGGCCTTTCTAAAATTAAAGAAAAGATCTTGAATCAAGGAAAAGCTTTCGATGTCACACCAGCTTTTGAGGACGGAACACCACAACATAAGAGCAAAAAAGTCACGTTCAAACCATCATAGCACATGTGTCGTTTCTATCTTGGCACTTCATCACGGTCCTTTTAAAAAAAAAATAGACGTGTTCAGATTTATCAATTTAACTTACCACTTCATTATTAAATTGATAAATCTTAACACATCTAATTCTCTTAGAGAGGACCACGATAGCATGACAACAAAGCATAAAAAAAGATGTCGGAGTTAAGCAAAAGTAGTTTAAATTGATTATATATTTACAAAGTGTCGAGATCCTCACTAATAATTGAAAAAAGTAAATAAAATAAAGTTTCATTTTGAGCATATTTTAAAGTGTCAATCTTAAGATCTGATGAATCTTATGTTAGAAAAAGGAAAGGATAAATGTGAATCTCTGACCCTTCCGAAATTTCTATAAAGTAGCTATTGTTACTACTGCTTTACAGGGAGAAATATGTTTATTTATTTGTTTGACAATATCCTTTGATACATATAATTTATTTTTCCTTTATTTATTTATTTATTTATTTATTTTTTTTTTTGTGGAAGATCCTAAGATATGCATCATTCATCCCAAGGGTGAACGTCCAACAGATTGAGCGCTTTTTTCTTTTTCTTTTTCGTTTTTTTTTTTTAAGCTTTTCAACTCATCCAAACAAATTTAAGGGACTTAAACTAACAATTGAACCAAAAAATAAAAAATAAAAAAGGTGAGAAGAAAACAAATTAAAATTCATTATTTATTAATCAAACCAAGTTCTACCATTATCTTATAAGTAATAAACAAAAAAAAAATAAAGAAAAAATAAAACGGGTTCAAATAAATAAGTCATAAACCACAATAACCACAGCTATTGAAAAATAGAAATCCGCTTATTTAATACTAATGATACAACTTCAAATAAAAAGTATAATAAAAAAAAGAAACTAAAATTCATAATATGTTATTCATACCAAGTTTTCAAATCTTGTCCAATTTCTTAGAACTTATAATAAAGCAAATATAAAAAATAAAAGATCAACAATACAAGTACAAATATATAAGTTGTCATCCATAATAAAATCTAATGAATATACGTACTTACAATATATTTTTAAAAACATATAAAATTTAATTAGGCAACCCAAACGCACTGAATAAAAATTTGAGTTGGGAGGGTTAATCCAACCTTAATGTCAAGTTAGTTGAATTATGTTAAAATTGGACAGGTTTTGAGTTGCAAGTTTTTTGTTTATCCCTAATTCACCCTTTGTTATTTTTTCTCATCAGAATATAGTTTTCTTTTTTTATGGACGGTAAACATTCATAATTATAATTTATCGCCGTCCAATTGATAAAACACGTATGATTAATTATTAAAAAAAGTCTTAAAATAACAAATTTTATATTTTTAAATATTTGACCTATTAAAAGTATATTTTTTAAAAAATTATACTCCTTAATTAATTCTAATCTAAAAGATAAAATAATATCGATTAATATTAAGGAATATAAATAAAATGTGTTCAATTTTAAATGGCAATTTTAATTGCCCGTTTCTAAATTGAACATTATTTGGTGGGGCTTACTTGGTGGGGCCCACCTGCCGTTGGTTCAACTCTTTTTTCTTAATTGATTGACTTGCTAGGTGATTACTTTTCATGAGCTTTGGAATCTTGACTAAAACAGTATGACACTAACACGTAGTGCTATTGCTATTGAATACTACAAGCAGAAGCATTCGTCAATTTCTGCGGAACGTTACGATCGATTTTTATCCTTAATTTAATCAGTAAATATAATATATATTTGCATAACAAAGGCCTAGTAAGGGATTCCATCCTTCTATCTCTCTTTTTTTTTTTTTTTTTTTTTTTTTTTTTTTTTTTTTTTTTTGGTGAAGACCTTGTTCCCGAGGGCAAAACGAGTTATATTCCCTTTTAGGCTTTGTCTAGGTTCATTGAATCATTTGTAGCAGAGAGTCATTAACAATTAGTTTAAGAACGCTCAAACTGTTTAGCTTGAATTTTCTTGATCAAATTCATTATTACTTTGTAGCTAAAGCTAATTGTTAGGGGGGCAGTTTTACTAGACATAACCACTTTTTGAGTCAGTGTCTTATATACTAATACCATATATTTCATACGAAAAATAATAGACAATACTGTACAATTTTAGACCGTTAAATTACATTAAAATCATATCGGAGTTACAAAATATATATTTTTTTTCTATTTATATTCTACTATAAAATTATCCCTTATTATAATGGTCTTATTAATTTAGGAATTCAAATTTCACATTCAACCACAACATGAATGATCCATGGTGTAAATTCCCACAAAATATTCACGTATTGGTTAGAGTGGGAATCCGACAAACACATTTGACGTTTCTTGTTTTCAATGTGAACATCCAACTCTGATCTGCAACCCATTAGCCAATCAGTGTACCGTCCAATTAGAGTGAGATACCATATAGTAATAGTACTCTATACCTTATCTTTCAAAAAATATATATATATATTTTCAACCCAATCTAAGAGTATTGTAACACTTTGTCCTTTAATTTAATTTTTTTTTACATTCGTAACCGTCATATTAGGGGTTTGTGACGCATAAACTAAGGATATTATTGTAAAATGGTATTGTGAGAGTTCTAATGTTCTGAGATTAGGGGGACTAATGTTACAAAGAAAAAAAAATTAAAGGGTATTTGGGAAAATTTATATAAAGAGTATTTAGGGGAATTTTATAATTAATCCTAATAATAATGACAACAACTCAAAAAAATTCTCTCCCGAGTCCCACCACACTCACACTCACACTCACACATGCAAATTGCAATATACATAATTGAAGCAGACCCTTGTCAACAACCAACTTACAATATATTCTTCATCGCCTTCTCCTCTTTGCCAATATCGTCCTTCTTGACAACCACCCCATGGAGACTATAGAAATGCAACCCCCACGCCAGAAACCCGACCCGACGGTTCCCGACATGGACGAGGATGAGCTCTCCCCCATCGAGGAGGTCCGGCTTACCGTGACCAACACCGACGACCCGACCCTGCCCGTGTGGACCTTCCGAATGTGGTTCTTGGGCCTGCTCTCATGTGGGCTCCTCTCCTTCCTCAACCAATTCTTCGCCTACCGGACCCAGCCCCTTGTAATAACACAGATCACCGTCCAAGTAGCCACTCTCCCCATAGGCCATTTCATGGCCCGGACTCTCCCCAAGACCCGGTTCAGACTCCCCGGGTTCGGGGAGAGGAGGTTTTCGGTTAACCCGGGCCCCTTTAACATAAAAGAGCACGTGCTCATTTCCATATTTGCGAATGCCGGGAGTGCTTTTGGATCAGGCTCAGCTTATGCTGTGGGGATTGTTACCATTATAAAAGCGTTTTATCGCCGGAGTATCTCCTTTTGGGCTAGTTGGATTCTTATTATCACCACCCAGGTACGTATAAGTTTTTCAACTCTTCATATATATATATATATATATATATTGATTTTCTTTGTTTCTGGTTTTGGATCTTTTGAGAGTACAAGTTGGTTGAGAAGAGAGACAGGAAGAAAGATAGCCAAATCGTTTACCTGTATCTTGATTATTTCGTCAGCGGGCAAAAAAAAAAAGAAAAAGAAAAAAGAAGTCTCCATTAGCTGGCTGTTTGGACCATTACAATTAATCAATAGGGTGATTTTAATAATATAGAGTACCTTTTGTTTTTTTTTTTTTTTTTTTTTTTTTTTTTTTTTTTTTTTTTTGAACAAGCTTTTTTCTTCTTTTATGTCTTGGTTTTCATAAACAAATATAATTTTTTTTTAATTGCTATCTTTTTTTTTTTGGGCAAACAAAGGACAGAAAAGGCAAATGTTTACTGGGGGACAATTTTTTATTTTTTTTTTAATCAGTATCTTATGCTGATAAAAAGGATCATTTTTTTTTTTTTTTTTTACTTACACTAGCTGTAATACTAGTGAATTTCTTTAGTCAAGGTCCTACTTTAGTTTTTACTTACCATCGTTGATTTTTTGAGATCAATACTAGTTTTATGTTATATAGTTGTTTATTTTGTTAATTTAAATTTTTAATTTAAATTAAAATATAATTTTATGTGAAAATTTTTTACTATAATAAAAAAATTATATGTAATTATTTTTAAATTTTTTTTATTATAATAAAATTTAAATTTTAAACTCAAATCAGTGAAATGAATGGACCTTAATGTTTCGAAATAAAAATCCCGTAATATCCGTGAAAAAGGTATTACTTTTATAAAAAAGTAGCCTAAATCATTATTGCCTTGACTTATTTTATTAAGAAATTGTTATTTTAATTAGTGAGGAGACTATGAGACGGACTCACTCATCACTTTGAGTAAAACTTAAGACTTATTAATTAATTAATTAATTAATTAATTAATTAATTAATTTTTAATAAAATGGTACATTTAAAATTATACGTTTGAAATCCAACGATGCAGAAGTGGTAAATCACCCAAGTTTTAATCTTATATGAAAAACTTTGGCTGCAGGTACTCGGATACGGTTGGGCTGGGCTTTTGAGGAAGTATGTGGTGGAGCCCGCTCATATGTGGTGGCCCAGCACTCTTGTTCAGGTCTCACTTTTCCGGTACGTTAATCTCTTCGTCACTACACGGTTTAAGATTTTTATTATTTATTTTTAATTAATATTTTTTAATTAAATAATTACAATAATAAAATAGTATTTATTAAAAATAAAGGATAAAAGTCTAAACTCATACACTTTCAAGATAAATTTTTTATTTTTTTATTATATAAGACCATTATCTTTGGTATAAATCCTAATTCGATGATTTATTTGGCATTAAAAATTGAGAAACTCACGTATTTGATATATTTATTTTCATTTTTATTTCAATATATAATATTATTTTAAATGTTAAAACTATCTTTTGACATAATTATTAAGTTTTAAAAGTTGTAAAATAAAAAACTTGTAATTTTAAAATAATTTAAAAATGAAAATATTGTAATGATTAAATAAAAAAAATCAACTTAACAAAAACTATCTGATAGTAATTAATTGTCAAATTTATCACATGTTATGTTATATTTAGTGATAAATTTGTCATATATGACAAATTTAACATAACAAATAGCTTCATATTAAAAAGTAATTATCCCACTAAAAAATGTTAAAATTTAACATTGAACACTAATATAATTTAGAATTGTTTTGAACACTAATATAATTTAGAATTGTTTTGTAGATGCCCTAACAAACAAATCTCAGAGTTACCTATCATTATTATTATTATGACATCGCTCAGTTCACCGATTTGAGTTTTCAATTAGAATTGAGATGTGATTTTATGTAAGAGCTTTTAACTGTAATAAAAAAATTAAATGTGATTTTTTATAAAATTAAAATTAAAAATTCAAATCAGTAAAATGAACGAGACTAATCACCCACCGCTACCACTTTATACAGCAGATGCACATATAAGTGGCAAGCTCTTTCCTTCCACGAGTTTCTTTAAAATACAGACGTGTTTTTTCGTTAACTGACATAATTAGTACGCTTTCCATCAACTTAATTTTTGGAATTGACATCTTTTCTTTATCCATTTTCATCGTTTTCCCCATATGTTCACACTTTAAAACCAAAGTCCCAAACAAGCTTATTAATGTTTCCAAAAGTGCTTGTCGCGTATTGGAATATTCGATATCCAAACGCGCATACAATAACGATGACGATCCGATCATGCAAGTAATAAAACAAAAATAACTCTCAACGAGCAGGTACTGCTTTCTGCTCACCGCCCACTTCTTTTGAAAAATATTTGTGCAATATTTGACCCAACCCAACGTGAACATGGTAAAAGAATTTCTCTTGTAGACACAGTAAAAATTTTATTTTCAAGGGTTAAATTTATATTAAAAATCATTTATTTTGTAATGATTTTAATTAGATTTTACATTAAACCAGATATATTAATGGGAGCTTGACCAGAAAAAGACCAAAAGAAAAAAAAAATGCAGGGTCGGGTGGGACCATTTCCAAATATCACAATACTATTGCTCGGAGTCGCTTCACTATTGAGTCAGTCAACATGCATCTTACGTATCTTTAGCACCTTTTATTTTTATTTTTATTTATATATATTTTTGAATGTCTCTCTTATCTCTACAACGCACATGCATATGACTAATAATTCTCTCCCCCACGCCCACACTGCTGCTTACTATGGGTATACTTAAATTCCGTTAATTTTATCGGTTTAAATTTAAAATTTAAGTTTTATTATAGTAAAAAATTCTTAAAAATAATCACATTTAATTTTTTTTTACAGTAAAAAATTCTCACATAAAGTCACATCAATTCAAATTAAAAACTCAAATCAGTAAATTAAACGACTTCTTGTACTTTTGTATCTACCAATCAAAGCCACGCACGCGTGTGTATTAGTGTCTTACGTGTCTTGAAACATATACGTTAAATTTTAAAGGGTTTAGTTTAGTTTAGTTTAGTTTTTTTTTTCTGGTATTCTTTTTTAAGTCTTGTAGAAATATTTAACCAAGTAATAAAAAATAAAAGTTTTTTTTTTAAACGAAACATAAATACTTAATTGCTATTCTCACTGAAAATTAGTAATAATAACAAAAATATTTTTCTAAAGTTATATTTATAATTCTTAATAACTTTTGTTAGAATCTTATCCATAAAAAACTATATATTCCTAAATATGTTAATTGTTGTTGTTGTAACAAAAATCTTTAATAGCTAGAAAAGCTTCTAATAAAAATTATAATGAAAAGAAATGTAACAGGCGTGGAGAAAAGTAAACAAATAACATTTAAAATTTTAAAAAATAAATTAGAATAACTTAAATGTAAAAATGAACGTACATTAACTCCAAGAAAATGATTTCTGAAAAACTTTCCTAAGTATTTATATATTCTTTTAAAATCTCATGTTTTCTCTTCTTATGTATTAAAACCAATACAAAAATAATATCCGATAGGTAAAATTTTAAAAAAATAAAAAATACTACCCTCATTAAGACAAATAGGAAATAAGTATTATATTAATAGCAATTAAACAAACACATTTCAAAACTTAAAAAATCGAAATTAACAAGCCAAACAAAAATTAGAATTGAAAATTTCAGAAAAAATGTTCATTTTCTTTAATTTTAGTTAACTAATATTTAAAATTATAGTCATTGGAGAAATATTAGTGAGAAAAATATTTGAGAAAAATAGTACTTGGGAAGGTTACAAGTGAAAATAAGTAAAATTAAGCATTTATAAGGGTCATTAATGAAAAAAAGAGCATTTTAGAATATCGCAAGAAAAATTAGTTAAATAAAGGAATATTTGAGAAACATGCACTTTGGTATGTTTAAATAAAGGAATAAAATGTTTAAATAAGTAGTGGCCTTTTTAAAAACTTATTTAAAAGGGCAATTAGAAGAGAATGTACAAAAAGATTGAAATGGTGGAGAGATATTTGAAAAGACATTTTGGTATGTACAAAGTAAAAGAAACAAGTATTGTATACTATTTTAAAATAAATAGGCAATAAAGAGAAAAAAAAAAAACCCAAGAAAGAAAAGTCAATAAAAGACAAACTACAGAAAAGGACAAAATAATTTAACCAAATTTTAGAACAGTGCACAAAAAGAAACTCTCATTTATATATGGCACCGTTGAGTTTTTTTACAGTAAAAATTCTCATAAACAATCATATTTAATTTTTTTATTACAATAAAAAATTCTCATATAAAATCACATTTTAACTCAAATTCTAAACTTAAATCGTGAACGGAGATAAACTCTCATTTATTATATAGTAGTAGATAATATATATTGATCATCATGAGCTATACTTGTACATGCATTGTGCACGTGTACACTAAGGGCTCGTTTACTTCGCTGATTCGAGTTTGTAATTCAAGTTGAGATGTGATTTTGTGTGAGAGCTTTTTACTGTAGCAAAAAAGTTAGATGTGATTGTTTCTGAGAGCTTTTTACTGTAGCAAAACTCAAATTCTAAACTCGAATCGGCAAAATGAACGGGGCCTAAGAGTCCATCATTATAATATTCCTCTCTCTTATACTAATCAGGTCGATGCAGACCCAGACTAAAAGTAACATATAAAAGCAACTGAGAGGAATTAAAATAAATACATAAATAAAATAGAATAAATGAGAATAAAATGGTCCTATAGAAATCCTACTCTGCACACCTCAAAAAAAATATTTTCAAGGAACATGAGAATTTTACCTTATAATGATATATTTTGGTCATTTTGATCATTTTACATATCCACAACAATTTAAGTTTAAAATTTACCAAATACTATTGCACTGATTTTAAAACCAGCACATCTATTATAATTACAGTTTACTAAATACTCAGCTGCTTTTTATAACAGCTGTTTCTTTCTTCAACACAGCTAAAAATAATTTTTTTAAAATTCACAGCACTACCAAATTAAGCCATAATAGGTCTCACTAGTCATGAATCCCACTTATCTATATAGTGAAACCGACTATATATGAGTTGTGAGGTTTGATTCCTTTGAGAATGTGTATAATTGCTCCTTTCAAAAAAAAAATGTATAAGTGCTCTATTTTAGTTTATTTTGTTTAAGGAGTGCTCTACTTTTAATCTCCCTTAGAAAAAAAATTGTGAAAGCCACGTTATTTGCAAGGCGGTGTAGAACAGAATTACTAATATAAAAAACGGAGAAACAACAAAAAAATGATATTTATTTTATTTCCGCCGTGGTTGTAAATTTATCTCATGCCAATAATAATTTATATATTATCTTTTCATAATCTCTAAGTTATATTAATCTACAAATTATTTTTTATAATCTACATATTGTCTTTCCATAACTTGTAAATTATTTTTCGTTGTGATATTAAAATTTTGTGTAGTAATATAAAGAATATAATTAAAAAAAATAATGATTAAACTTGAAAATTTCCCAATAAAAAAGCCGTCTAACACGAATCTTTGCACGTCGGTAAGCTTAAGATTAGCCCTGCCCTTCCCACAGTAATTCTACTTCTCAGATTTTAATTTCTTTCTGTTATTATTCTCATTATTAGTATTCATTTATTTATTTTGCGTCACTCACACATATCTTGTACGAGGTTAAATTTAGTCCAGTTTACTGTTTAGTCAACTCTTATTACAATGCCATGTTTTACCTATAATTTCTTTTTGTTCATTTTATTTTTCTATGAAAAGTCCAATAAATAGTTAAATACAAAAAAAAAAAAAAAAAAAGAAGAAGCCTGCACCTCGTCCTCCGGAGTAGAATCTCAGATTTGGATCACAAAGCTTTATCCTTCAATTCTCTAGTACACAAATTTTTGGTGTCCTAGTTTTTACCTGTAAGAGTATGAAGCATATAAACTTTAAAATATTTCCATACATTTAAAACCCACATAAACTTTACAGAAGTAGAATTACTTCCAACTTTTTTTAACTATCACGTTTGGTCTTTGTACTGGAATCATTCATACAGAAGTAGAATTACTTCCAACTTTTTTTTATAAATGCATTGTTCCCCATTTTTAAATAATGTTGAACCATCATTTCATAGAAGTAGAAAGCCGAATCATTATTAGACACACATCTATACGTTTTTCATCTAGTTTTCTAACGAAAATTTTCAAATTCAACACACAGGGCTCTGCATGAGAAAGACGAGCAGCGGATGTCACAAGCAAAGTTCTTTCTAATTGCTCTAATCTGCAGTTTTTCATGGTATGTCTTCCCCGGGTACCTATTCTCAACACTCACCAACATCTCGTGGATTTGCTGGGTATTCTCAAAGTCGGTCACAGCACAGCAGATTGGCTCGGGCATGAGAGGCCTTGGACTGGGATCTTTCACTCTTGACTGGTCGGCCGTGGCATCGTTCCTGTTTAGCCCGCTCATCAGCCCTTTTTTCGCCATTGTCAATGTCTTCCTGGGCTATGTACTGCTTATTTACGTTGCAATCCCTATTGCATACTGGGGGGTGGACTTGTACGGTGCAAGTAAGTTTCCCATTTTCTCTTCACACTTGTTCACAGCAAAAGGTCAAACCTATGACATAACAGCTATTGTGAACGACAAGTTCGAGTTGGATATAGAAAAGTATGCGGAGCAAGGACGAATTCATTTAAGCACGTTTTTTGCCCTCAGTTATGGTTTTGGTTTTGCCACCATTGCCGCCACACTGACGCATGTGGCAGTCTTCTATGGAAGGTAATGCATTGTTCTAAACTTTAATTTCCAAATCTTTTTCCTACTTTAATGGTAATTGTGTTTTCTACTCATTGTATTAAGTATTAATCTCATTTCTAGTCCCCGAATTCTATGTTAAATTCCATTTTGGTCCCTTCTACAACATCCTAGGACGCGTTCCCATGTACCAAATTGCATGAATTAGTCTTTATGTCCATCCAATTGTTAAAATCTCAACGGAAGAAGGCACGGCTTCCTTTTAAACAGTCGCTCGCGGCCTTTCTCTCACCTGATTGTTAAAATCTCAGGAAATCACACATGGTCCCCACGTGCCTTTTTCTGTCAAGATTTTAGCAGTTGGATGGACGAAACGACTAATTTAGGCTATTTGATAGATCATGGACTTGTTCTAGGACGTTATGAAAGTCAGAGACCAAAATGAAATTTAGACTATATTTGAGGACCAAAATGGGATTAACTGAACATAATGCCTGAACAAAAAAAGTATTACTTCTATTCAAATTAAGTTTGTGATAGCGTACTTGTGTAGTCCTCAACTCACCTAACAGAGAAAATACGAGAAATAGGTGGCATTTATACAACTTAGCTTCTTTCGTTAATTAACTTGCAAAATTGTTCTTAAAGAAACGAACAAAAATTAATCGATTCTATCATTTGAAACTGTTTTGCTCTTAATTTCACTTAGACTTTCAAATGAATATGGCTTAAAAACCTTATTTCCAAGAACTTTTGATGCCTATTAGGTGGCCCTGGTTCTCTAAAAAAAAAAAAAAAGGTGACCCTGGTCAAATCAAGACTTCCAACAGTTCAAGATTTCTAATTGACGATAAACTATAAATTTTATCAATCCAAAACACACACACAGGCACAGCCAGGAAAAAAAAAAATATTGGTGTAAGTCCAGAGATGAAAAGAGATGATCGTTTTAAATTATTGACAAAGAACACGTCGCTTGTTGAACTCGAGCAAATTTCATAAGAATGGATGTACTTTGATAGCATAAGTAAATTGACAGGGAGATCTATCAGCGTTATCGCGCTTCTCACAAAGGCAAGGAGGACATCCATACAACACTTATGAGGAGATACAAGGACATACCTTCCTGGTGGTTTTACTTGTTGCTTGCTGTGACACTTGCAGTATCCCTTGCACTTTGCATCTTTTTGAATGATCAGGTTCAGATGCCGTGGTGGGGACTCCTCTTTGCTGGTGCCATGGCTTTTAGTTTCACCCTTCCAATCAGCATTATAACTGCCACAACGAACCAGGTAAGTCAAAATTTGTCTTGCTTATCAGTAATATGAGTAAATGATACAAGAACTTTCTATTATTTGGTTCTCCCATTATCCTTGATGGCATATCTCATAGTTGCGATCACTATCCAAGTCATGATATACTAGTTTAACTTGGTTAGATGTCACTCACCATGTTAAAGCGTAGTTATCTACGAGTTTGCTAGTTCACGAAGAACTGGTTATAGGAAGATCAAATTGGCAAGGATGAAATTAAGCTATCAGATTAAATATCCTAAATAAAGATTGAAGCCAATAACAATATAGTCCATTTTCTTTACTATGTTTTTTAGCAACTGCAAGTATTGCAGCAAGCATGCTCTTTCTTTTTCCTCATCAAATTTCGCTACAAAATTCAAGATCTTTTCACTATATATCTAATTGCTACTGATCTTCTGATGTCTCAAATACAGACACCAGGGCTGAACATAATAACGGAGTACGTCATGGGTATCATATTACCAGGAAGGCCAATTGCCAATGTATGTTTCAAAACCTATGGCTATATGAGCATGGCACAGGCTGTCTCCTTCCTCAGTGACTTCAAGCTAGGGCACTACATGAAGATCCCTCCCAGATCAATGTTCATAGTTCAGGTATCTTCTCCAATGTTATCAATAAAGAAATAGTATTCCTTGCACATTAAAAGCCAAAATTGACAAGCAAGAGTGGTGATTTAAACAATTTCCAGAAAAATGTATTCTGATTGCTAAGCAACTACTTACTATGCATCTACACTTGAAAGAACAAGAGAACACTCTAATGCAGTAACCAAAAACAATGTTATCATAAGAATATTAGTGAATATTAAATAATTGAACCTCACTCAATTGACCCTTAAATTCCAGCAGCCAAACAGTTTGGTATATTTGACACCGTTATTGCTAAACTTATATAAGTTCAGGCTGTTGCTACCACCAACTACTCTCCTCTATTTTTTCCCGATGTTACATATACTGAAATTCTCATCTTCTTCTGCATTTGTATATGTGATATCTAGTTCTTAGGAACGATTCTCGCTGGAACCATCAATCTTGCAGTGGCATGGTGGTTGCTGACCACTGTGGAGAATATATGCCAGGATAATCTCCTTCCCACAAATAGTCCTTGGACTTGCCCTGGTGACCGAGTCTTTTTTGATGCATCTGTCATATGGGGGTTAGTGGGACCTAAGCGTATATTTGGATCCCAAGGAAACTATGCAGCCATGAATTGGTTCTTCCTTGGAGGTGCCGTCGGACCGGTTATCATTTGGTTACTGCACAAGGCATTCCCCAAACAAACATGGATTCCTCTGATCAATCTTCCAGTCCTTCTTGGAGCAACAGCAATGATGCCACCAGCAACATCATTGAACTTCAATTCCTGGATCATAGTTGGAACTATCTTCAACTTCTTTGTCTTCCGATACAGGAAACAATGGTGGCAAAGGTACAATTACATTCTTTCAGCAGCATTGGATGCAGGAGTGGCTTTCATGGCAGTGTTGCTGTACTTTTCAGTGGGTTTGGAGGACAAAAGCTTAACGTGGTGGGGCACAGATGGTGAGCACTGTGAGTTAGCAACTTGTCCAACAGCTAAAGGCATAATAAAGGATGGTTGTCCCTTAAAGTAATTTTATCACACATTTTTAACTCTAGAATTGCACAGCACACTTTCAGCAATAGAATGTTGGTATTATTACCCACACAAACTAGGATAAATGTGTCTTAATAGTTATAGACTTATAGTTCGATTCATAATCTCCTATGTATTTGTGCATAAGTTTGGACCTTGTTGTACTTTCAAAAAACAAATCGTTTGTAATGTCAATCGCTCAAGGCACCAGATTCTTCTTTCTCTCTTTCCTTTGTTTTATTTTAACTTTTCTTATCGTCATACTAATTAATTCAACTCTTTCCACCCTCAAAATTCATATCGCTGCCAATAAGACCTCCAAGAAATTATCTATGAGAGAAGAGGTCCACACAACGTGTAGCAGCCTGGCACTTTTGATAGACAAATGCATACAGAAATGCGGAAGGGGCAAACCAAAGCACAAGAAACATACAAGAAAAAAGGCTATCACAAACACAAGGAAAAACACAGCTTGCACTCCACGACAACAGTACATTCTACCAAACAAAGACACAGAGTCAGCCATCTAAATAGAGTAGTTCTGATGTTGAAAGTACTCCATCCAACCAGACTCAGTCACTCCAACTGATGGACCAACTCAAGAATGTGCTCAATCATTCCAAATTTCCCCTAACAGAAAATAATATCATGCCAGAAAGAGTTCAAAACTAACAAGCCTATACACTGCACCATGGAATAAAATGAGCACCGAAGCTCCCTATCGCCGAACACTTCATAGTTGCCTTTAAGCCCATAGTAGAGGTTGACATAAATCTCCTCGTCAAATGTCATTTAAGAAGATCTCTAGAGCTTTATGTCCTTCTAATCGAGAACTTGTGATTTGGAGCGACAAAGCCGTATAAGCTCAAGCTATCTGGATTACTTTCACTCAATCCTTCCTCCCAATCTCATTGTCTAGACTACAACAATCAGCAAGGAACACCCACCATATGCAGCTCCTAATCATTAAGGCCGTCATGTAACCTAGGGTTTCAAAGAATTATTCACATGAAAAAAAGTTCAGGCAGATGTAATATATGTCAAAAGGAAATACAGACATGAAACATAATATGAAATTCTGGTTAAAGACAATCGCACACAGAGACATGCTTGAGAAAAACAAAACCCAAAGACAGATTTATTACGTGATTTCCTGAAGACTGTTTCAAAATACCTTAAGCTGATCCTGATTATTTGTCGAAAGCCACTGGTTATACTCATCCATCCTAATGATAAAAGAGCTTGAACTTGAAGAGCCACCACCACCGTATGCCTTCATGTGTAAAAATGCATTAAAAGAATCTTCAACGCATGCTGATATTATATGGAAGGAGAGAAGGTATAGCTGCCTGGATTATAATGCATACTTTTGCAACTTCAGAGGTATCCGTGCTACTATCAATACTCCTCAAGCACATTTTAAGATTATTCCGTTGCATGTATATAACAGCTCCTATAGGCCTGACATTAATTGGGGGATGGGAAACACACTTAAAATATTTATAGAAAAGATTTAAGTACCAAAGACCTCATCGTAATAAAACCAAAGTAAAAGGTTTACCTGAGACCAGTGGCTGCACTTCTTACACTAAGTTGCTTGCCAATTTCATCAACTAAATCAGAATTTCCATCTACTCTCACTCCCTATATAGATTTAAAATCAATCAATAAATAAATTTTATTATCAGACATTTGAATTTCCAAAGAAAATTTAAAACTAATTGACAGAAGTGAGGAACAATGGAGCTGTAGCATACTACACATGCTATGTTGCACATACCGGGAGAAATTATTCAAATGCCAGTCAGATAACGGTACATAAGAAGAAGAATGAAAAACAAAAAAATGGAAGTTCACAACGTGAAAGAAACAGGGTATTGGATTTTATCTTTTTATTTATTATATTTATTATTATTATTTTTTTCTTTTCAAGCGATAGGAGTTCCAAGGTAGTAATTAATTACCAGACACTCCCCATAAAATCCTCTGCCCAACCTAACTTTAAAAGCTTTATCCAGCAGCTTCTTTGTAGCTTTTTCACGACGAGAAATATAAGAATTTCCCTTAGCGATTAAGTCAGCAGCACTAATCTCCAGTAACTGCAAAAAGATTATCAGAACTCAGCTAAAGAGAATGCAATTGTGCAGCAGTATACACAAAACATAAAAGATGAATTGATGCTAATTTAAGGGGAATAGCATGCAGTTTAAATCTCCAGATATCAAAATTTTCCAGAAAACAAAAATGTAATCTTTCGATATAAAAACTGGAACAATCCTCCTCCTAGTTGTGTCACTTTCCAGCATGCTTTGTGAGTAGCAGTACATAATAACACCAAAAATCTAGTATTCATTTTCTCCAAATTACCACCTTATCCTATTTATCTATATATCTATAAAAAGGGACAAAAGATCTAGTACTCAGTATCTGAAATTCTAGTGCTTAAAACAGAAACAAACAAATAGGAACAACACAACATTGTTATGATAACCAAATAGAATATGACTATCCAATTATTCTGAAAATCTTAACAATTTATCCAAGAACAAGATCAAAATTTTGTAGCATCAAACCTGTTCAAACATGTACGGATTGGTTAAGCAATTTAGCTTCAAGCGCCATTCGTCAATTCCAATCGCAAACGCCCAAATGTCCGGCAAGCTTTGTCGCCGTAAATCTACATCTTCAATGTACTTAAGAAGCAGTTCCACACGATCTCGCTCCTCTGGTTTTAATAGACTTACAACCATCCCCTAAAATTCGAAAAGAAAAAGAACAAAAATGATAAGATCCATCTTCATCATTGAGGAAACACACCTAACGCAGTGACACTAAACCAAAACCCGAAAGTGAAAAATTATCTCATTTTTCCACTTACATCAGACCGTTTCGTCTCCACAATTTTAGCAGAGAGGTATTCATACACAGCAACAGAGCTACTCTTCTCAACATTCACATTAAAAGTAAGGTTTTCACGACAATCTTCCACAAAAGGTACATTCCGGAGCACCGATTTTCGATGATCGAACCCTATCACTCTAATTTAACAACGATTCACAAAAACCAAAACACTTTTGTAATCTCAAACAACTAGAAAATCAACAAAATCAAGAATTTCAAGTTAAACAAAATAGAAATGCGAAATTATTCAAGCTTACTTGCATGAAGCTCGCTGCGAGAGCTCCTCTGCAAATCCCTTCGGGCCAAGGAAATCGAGAAGATACAGTTTCTCGAGGCCTTCGACGCACAAATCCTCAACCCTGCGGAAAAAAAATAAAAACATGAAAATGAAGAAAGCGTCATGTTTGGATGCCGAGAAAATGGAGAGAAAAAAGATAAGGGACCTGAGAGGGTGGACGGAAGAGAAAGGGAGAATGAGGCAAGGGAGGTTGAGGCGGGAGTGGAAGAGGTGAGCGAAGAGAGCCGAGAAAGCTCCGGAGAAGGAAGGATAGTTGTAGAGAGCAAAAATGGGGACTTTGTCTTGCGAAGCTTTGGCTATGGCTTCCAACGCCGCCGCGGATCGGAAGCTCCGGGTTCCCGGGAACGGGATAAGAATGGTTGTCGGTTTTAGGAAAAATGAGAACTTCATCGGCGTTTAACGGTCGGTTTCAGTGTTTTTTTTTTTTTTTGTAGGGTGGTTTTTGTGTTTTTTTTTTTTTTTAGTAGGTCGGTTTCAGTGTTATTTTATTTATTTATTTATTTTTTGAGAAACAAATAACACTGAGAGAAGCTGTGAGTTCAGTGTCGTTCGGCAATTTATGCAACGCTGGGCCTGCCTGGGGCCCAAAATTGCGTGGGCCCATCATCTAATATCACACTGCATTCCACATGTTTCTACCTCCTACGAGCCAATCCCAGACACCCGGGGCCCACCTTACCACCTTATGGAACGTTTTGTTAGAATATTATGAATTATTATAGTATTTTTTTAAAAAAAAATACACATAAATTAAAAATAATTTTGAGTTCAATGATTCACCCTCAAATTCGAATCGACGAAAACACCATCCGAACTTAAAACCAGCCATTCAGAAGATAACATCTATCCGAGCTCAAAATGTCGTGAAGTTATTCCTATACAATTCCTAACGCCAACGATGAGCATTATTTAAAGCGCTTGACTTTACAATTCCTTAGATATTTTCTTCTCTCTCCTCAACGCAAACGATAGATCCTCGTCGCTTTCACGAGGAGAATTGGATCCTTCCAAAATGTCTCCTCCAATCCGTTCTTCTTCGCCTTTGCACTAGCTTTGAGAACGTCTCTTTTGCTCTTCTGTATCTGCAAATTTCATAAGAGATTTTGCAGACTCGAGCTTCTTCGTGTTGTCGGTAAAGATGTAATAATCACTTGCTGATTCTGGGAATGAACTTCTTTGCTGTTCATCACCGTTTTGATGTAAGCAAAAACTAAAACATAAACATGACAAAATGGAAGAAAAAGATCTTTGTTTTGATTTATTTGTAGTTTTTAGTTTTAGAGGTTCTTAGATCGATCGCATTTGGTGATTCGATGACTTGTAGTTGAAGTTTTGATCGCACCGTCTCAAGAAATGCATTGTCCTTTGGTTTCTTTCTTTCTTTCGTTTTTTCTTTTTCTTTTGCGATATTAGGAGAAGAAAGCTTTTGCTTTAATGCATGTATGCTTTTTTTGTTTTTTTGTTTTTGTTTTTGTATGTACCTAATATTCATAATGTTTAGTTTTGGTTTTCCCAAAATATAATTGTTAGTTGATGAGTCTTACTAGTCATCATTTATTTATTTTTTGGTAAATTTTGGTTGGGTTTTGGATACTGAAACAGTTAATTTTAGTTCTATTTTAGTCGATGTTTCTTTTTGGTGAGGTTTGCACTTGGAACGATCTAATGTGGTGGTATTAGGTGGCTATCGATGAGTATTTGAGAGATGAAAGCAATGGGAATTCGATGAAATGCAGCAGTTATACATGTTTTGTGTTTGCAATTTTGTGTTATGTACAAGTTGCCACAAGTCAATTTTTATCTCGACTCGTGTCCTAATTTCTTTTAAAAAGATGATAGGACAAGATTCAGTTATGCGTTTCTCTTATGGAGTTGAGACTTTGAAAAACCATCTCATTTTGAGTCTATAAAGTACCGAGATAGAGCTTTAAATTGTTTTGGTACGTAAATTTTAGACTGGAGAGAACAATTATGTTTCTTTCTAAAATCAATTTCGTTGTTGAAATTCCGATAGAAGTCTCACCCCTGTTGGTTTCATAGGGATCCAACTTTTAGTTTGAAGATTGGTAGGAAAAGGTTAAGGCTTACTACTTGTCAGGATATATTTGCGTTGAACTTTTGGCTTGCTTGCTGCTTGAATTTTCCTCCTTCTCACTCGTGAATTATATGATACCGTAATTGATAAAACAGTTTATAAGGGTCTTTGTCTCATTCTAGTATCTCATATTGAGTAGTGCTATGGCATTTATCTAACGAGTAGTAGATTAGCTACAGATATATTTCTTTGCGAAATAAATATGAGAGCTCATGATTGTGTTTTATCTATTATTGCTGTATTTGATACAGAAACTCTGATTCTTGATGTTCCTATTTAATTTCCTATAAGCTTTGAGATTTTGGGTCAAATGTAATTGGCGAGTTGATGTTTCATACAAATAATCCTATACTTAGCCTTGTTATTAGGGTCTGATTGGGGATTATTTGAGGGTTTATCTTATTTGACAGTCGCGAGAAAATATTTCATTTAGAATTGCCTATGTATAAACATGTCAGATGTGAATGTGACTACTAAAAATTTTCTTTCTATGTTCTTGTCTTCAATCTCTATTTCCTTATCTCTATATTTGTCTTCTATTGTTTCTGCAGCATTATTAATAAGTAAATTAATTATGTGGAGAGTTTGTTGTTTATTTTGATTATAAGGAAGTTAGTTAGACTAATTGTTCTCTTCATGCATTGGTATGTTTAGTGGTTATTGCTTCGTTAATTTTGTGATTATAGAAATTAATTAATTTTAGAAGTGGGATACTCTTGTATGGGTTTATGGGGTGTGGTAAAAAAAAGAAGGTAAATCTTTCATAGCTTCCAAAAGAAACAAAACTACAGAAGAAATGAAAATGAAGCAATTACATTGTTCTTTTATTTGGCTTTTTGTTCTTTTTTGTTCCTGATTTCCTTCATTTTTTTTTCTCTTTGGTTCTCTAATTTTAGAAACACTATAGAGATAAATCTAGTCACAAAATAATTACCTACAAGAAATAAACGTCCACTGATTTTTTTTTTCCCAAAAGGAATAAACTTCCACTAATGAGATAATTAGATGAGATTATTATATTAAAATTGAATTGTCTTTTAGAGTTCTGGGCTGAAAAGTTTTTTCACTTATTTCGTGCAGAAATATGGAAATGTCTTAAATTGCTATGTTATATAAGCAGTGATTCTATTGTGTTGGCTTTTGTGCAGCAAAACTACAATCTCTTATTATGGTTAGCAAGGGATGGTAGAAGAACACCTTTTTTTTATACCTAGAAATCCCCGAACCCACTTTGTGAGCCCGGCTTAGAAACTGGAGCCTTCCGCCAAACCCTACAATCTTTGGAAGGCAGGAAACTACGACTTTTGTGTGCCCATGAGGTGCTTCAAACCCCAGACCTTGTGGGAGCAAGCCAAAGGCTTGACTATTTCAAACCAACACCCCATAAGTGGTAGAAGAATGCACTTAAATTAAGGTACCATGGAAATGATCTTGTTATATATAATCTATGGCCCCGTTCACTTCACCGATTCGAGTTTAGAATTTGAGTTTTGCTAAAGTAAAAAGTTCTCAGAAACTGTCACATCTAACTTTTTTGCTACAGTAAAAAGCTTTCACATAAAATCACATCTCAACTCGAATTACAAACTCGAATCAGCGAAATGAACGGACCCAATATGTTTCCTATTTGGAAGTGACTTTCCTATTTGCAAGCGGTGCGTAAAAGAGATAAAAAGATGAAGAAAGGTGGAAAAGGTGATATACAGGGAAATCTCCTTTATCTCTACACATTCACACGACTTCACAAACATATAATTTTTGAAGATTTAGTCTTGAACTCTTGAAATTGAAGTGATATTGCTTTCCGTTGAATAATTGTGTAGTTTAGACCAAACATTACAGTACATATGTTGGAGTGTATTATGCCTGTAAAAAGAACTGGGAGTTTTATTATGTGTTGAAATATCTTAAAAATTGCTGCATCGGTTTTGTACAATAATAAAATCATACTTTTATCATCTAGCCTAATTGAACGCATGCGTGGTCATGCAAAAGAAAAATAATTAGAGGTGGGTTTTTTTTGCTGTTTTAAAGAATTTTTATCCAGTAGCTAAAATTAAGCAATAATAGAACTGGCTTGTTTGTATGACAAGTTTTTGAATGTGTAACTGATTTTGTGCTTAAAATGTTGGTAATATTATTGCTTGGTATTTTCTTTGGTTTGAATGTGTATATGATGCATTTTTTTTTTCCAGATATTAGGAAGTCTTGCACTAGAGTTTGTTAATGTGCTGTCTTGAACCTGATATACATTTGTTGAACTAATTACCGTAAGTACCAAAATTTTAAGACCCTTGGTAATTTGGCATTTTTTTTATCAGCATTTGGCATTGCATTTTGTCAGTCAGTTCGTCTATACGCTCATTAATTAATTAATTAATTAATTATTTTTTTTATATTTTCTAAAAGTTTTCTAATTTTAAATGTTCATTTCTTTTCTCATTGAATATTTTTATGTATAAGGCTCCCATTGGTTATCTTTTAGGCTACTAATTGGAAAATATTTCTGTGTCTTCCTATGCTTGGTTGGCACTGTTGCCCTTGTAGAGGAATAAACAGAAAAAGAATACTAAAATGATAACTGATAGCTTTATGAACAGTTAGATTTTTTTTTTTTTAAACGAGAAAATTGAAACTTTAAAGTACTTAAAAATCTCGTGCAACAAAACAGAGGTGTCCTCCAATTCAAGAATTAAGAAACATAAAAGAAATAGACGTTACAAAACATCATTCCTGCTCAAATAAATAAAACTGGAGTATCTTGAATTCTTTTAAAGAGGAAAGATGACGGCATGGAAGTCAATAGTTTCATTTTCCCCTTATGCAGCTTCATCTTGGACCCGATCACACTTAACAGTACAGTTCTTTCCCAAAAAAAAAAAAAAAATCCAGAAAAAGGGTCAAAGTCCAACACACTTATGCTCAAAGAAGTCAACGCCAACTGAAATATTGCCGTGCTAACCAATGTAAGTAATTTCTTTGTCACCATATAATATTTAATAGTCTCATTTAGCTTGACAGATGATGCACCTTGAGGGTTTAAAGGCAAGTGTGCCAGATCCACCTCGTAATCATACAGCAAGTGTAGACGTGCCATGACCTGATGGCTGACAATAATGTAAGCACTGTGAGTTTGTCAAGTGATTATTTCTGACTCAACCGTTGTCCTTTTATATTTACTCAGCAATCACCAATTGCTGCTTTTTAAAGTTTAATATTCAGCTATATTGACTTTACTTTTTGTAGTATGAGATATGTTAAAATACCCATCTTATAATTTTCAAGTCACTCAAATGGTGAATAATTAAAAATGTTTTGTT